AAGTAAGCTAGGTAGCCAATATAAGACTTAGTCATCTTGCCAAATAGTTAGCCCACATTTATCTGGACTGTTAAGTCTTATATTGGCTACCTAGCTTACTTCGTCTCCTTCATCAGCCAGCATCCTTGGTATCTGTTGGTAACATGTGGGCTCACTATTTGGCAAGCAACCGGTCACAGTCGCCCTGTTTATGTCATGTCTTATAAAAGCTTATTAAGGATTTATAAAGTGTTCAATAAATGAATTACAAACTATTCTTTATAAGGGTAGTCTTATTGTAAAGTGGTACCAAAGTGTCTACTATACATCGCTTCAAAGCAGTTATAGAGAAAATGTAGGAATTAAAAAATGTCACTTCACCCTAAGTGTGAAAGAAATGACCTCTATCTACCTAGGTGGTTTTTGTTTTATTTGATACGATTAGATTTAATATCGTTCTATTTATATCACATTTTGCCAGCAGCAGTAGGGTAACTAGGATACTATATGCATTATACAAGTGTGAAAAGTATTATTTATTTTTTAAATGTTTAATGCAAGATGTAGAGAGTTGCTGAATGAAACCGCTTCTGAAACCTCTTTGTAGAAGCAGCCCAGTCTCACGGCATTTCATGTTATAGTCACGAAATTAATTTAATCTATTGATTCGTGTTCACCAACACGATTTTCGTGTCACACAGAACGATTTTAAAAGCAATGTATTTCTATTGGTAGTGTGTTTCGTGCCTGCACCACGTCCTTTTGTCCGGTAGGGTCTTGGAAGACCAGAAGCTTTGTGGTTTATAAAAACATTTTCTTACTCAATATCTTACCTTAAGCCTAACCCTATCCCTTTTATTTTAAATTGTATAATGTCGGAGTTTTTTTGCCGTCCGTGAGGAAAAGAAATGGGGCTCAGAGCCTCAGAATACTGACATATTTTTTTCCNCGAGGCGGCAAAAGTAGAACATTGCTCTACTTTTGCAGCGAGAGAGTTCGGCGAATCGTGACGTCACCATTCAAAGTGAATGGGCAGAAGCGTTGAAGCGGCAACGCACGCCGCCGTGTGTAGGGGCCGTAATTGTCTGTTCACACCGGACGCGATGCGAATATTCGCTTCGCTCTAATCACTCGAGTTTCACCGCGGCTGCGAGCTGTTTTTACTCGCATCANTTTGCGGGAAATTTGGTCCGTGCGCAAGAGCATTGTGGGGATTTTAGACAGCGGAGTCTACACATTGCAGCCTTCAAAATTTCTCGCTACGAAGTACGCCAGGCTCGGGTAGAATTCCAAGTATGCTGGAGATTGGAACAGTCCTTCGTCGGCCACTCGATGGCGTAGTATGCTTGAAATAATGGCTCTGGAGCAGCTTTACTCGAATTGAGAAACACCCTCAGCATCTGCCCCGCCCCTATTTGGTTCCACCTGTTCCCACTCAACTAAAGGCCTGACACACCAGGCCGAAATCGGCGGTTTTCGTTATCGAGGAGTGACGAAGCGTGCCCCTGTCGCTCCAAACTTCCAATTTGTTGTTGTCCCGCACCCGTCGGCCGTGACACGCCTTATTTGGCTTTATGGCCGACGACGGACCGATTAACATGGTTGATCGGCCGTGCGTCTGGGCCACAGGCAGTCAGACAAAGAAATCACTCTGATTGGCTGTTCAGCTAGCGATTGTGCATGAGAAGCGAAATGGTTGCCTTGAGAATGTCTTCCACAAGCAACACCTCCAATAGCTGAAGGCTCCAGTACCGCACGAAACATGTTTTCGGAGGACGAGAGTGAAAATGGAACGCACACACTATTGTTGTTTGTTATAAAATCACGTACGCTGTTCTTCTTCTCTGTCTTCCGGTTGTTGCCACATCTTTTGAAATGAAAATACACACTACGACCACCTGCTGTAAGGAGAGTTATTGCCACTCGCGCATGCGCAGTTCGTACGTCCTCGGCTGAAGTCTTTGCGGTGGTGTTCCAGTGTGACACATGGCCAAGACGCAGGAGAACATGCCGACGCAACAGTCGGCGTCGGCATCGGCGAGTTCTCTGGGGACTGCTTGGTGTGTCAGGGCCTTTATGTTTAAATAGTCCTGTGTCTCCCCTGTCCTGTTTCAGTTCATCTTGCTTGTTTCCATTGATGGTCGTGCCAAGGCTTCAACTAAGAAGGATATTTTCCAGTCTAGTCAGGTTTTGTTATTTGTTTTTTGTAAGCTTAAAGGGGACCTATCATGCAAAATGCACTTCGTGATGTCTGTTATACATAAATATGTGTCCCCTCCCCGGTGGGGTCAGGGACTCACGCAGCATCAGAAATAAAAACCTCTCTCTTTTTCCTCCGTACCCAAATCTTTTAAACGAGCGGATACAGATTTGCTGCCGTTCTGACGTCAAATCGTCAGCGGACACACAGAAAGTTGCTATCAGAAACCATGCCTGACGTGTTTTGGACGTAATCTCGTCTTTGTTTACATTAGCAAACCTCACTAACACTCAGAGCTAACCTGTACCGTAGAGCACATGTGTTTAAAAAGCAGGAAATAAAAAAAGTAACTCACCTTGTGATAAACCGGCAGAGAA